TATCAGGGAGTATGTGAAATCCTTCTCAGGGCATATGCTGAATATTCGAGATATGTCGGAAAAGGATAAGCTATTTGTCTTTATGGAAGGGTTGAAACCGTGGACACGCATGGAACTTCAAAGACAAAGTTACTGATTTGAGCACGGCCATGGGAGCCCCTGAATGCTTGAGCGACTACCAAACAAAATCTAGAAAAGATCGACCTTCAGGGAGTAATCAAGCAATTGGAGGTGGTAACAGATCTTACAGATCCAGCTCGAACCCAAATGAAGGAGAGCGTTACTCTCAGAATTGAGGAGGAGCCTATTAAAGCACCCGTGAGTTTCAGGGAAACTATTATAATAGCCGTCAAGGAAATTTTAACAGCAACAACAGTAACAACTGGAACAAAGGAAAAGCAACGGAGGGCCGAACTGATGCCACTCCCAAATTGAAGTGCTTTTTATGTGAAGGACCTCATCGGGTGTCAGAGTGTCCTCAGAAACGGATGGTGAATACATATTGTTAGTTAGGAAGTGGCGGGTCAAGTTCAAAGCAAGAGGTCTCACAGGCTAATTGTCATAGTGAGATCGACTCTGAAGAGGATGAGGATGTAGTTGGGGCATTTTCACATCGGTGCAACATACTGTCGCATCGGATTGCTGAAAATGATGATGTCCCATTGAAAGAGGCAAAGATGGAAGAAGCGAAGGTTCGAATTTGTAGGGCCAAAGGCTTAATTTACATTGATGTAAAAATCAATGGGAAGCCAATCAGGGCTATGGTGGATACTGGTGCTACCCACAACTACCTTGTATGTACCGAAGTAGAGCGGCTCGGACTTGTCCTAGAAAAGGGTAGTGGAAAAGTCAAAGCAATCAACTTCGCTGGTCAACCAATAGCTGGAGTGGCGAAATCGGTGTTGATCAAAGTAGGTCATTTCGAGGGAAGGACATTTATCTGCAGTTCAGATGGATGATTTCAAGCTTATTCTAGGATTGGAGTTTCTTCGGGATACTAAGACAGCAGTGTTGCCATATTCCGATTCATTAATGATGATGGGTAATAAGTCGTGTGTCATCCCTACACAGGTTGGGAAATTGGGCGAGAAGAGTATCTCAGCCATGCAATTTAGTAAGGGTTTCAAGAGAAATGAACCCTCTTTTTTGTGCACTCTTCAATTAGAGGAGATCGAGGAGGCGAATGGTCCTATTCCAAAACCCGTTAAAAGGCTTATTCAGGAATTTGAGGATATCATGCCGGAAGAATTACCAAAGAAATTACCACCAAGAAGGACGATTAATCATGAGATTGAACTTATTCCAGGCGCCAAACCTCCCACGAGGGCACCATACCATATGTCTCAGCCTGAGCTTGAAGAGCTTAGGAGCAATTAGGAGAAATGCTGGAGAGTGGAATTATTGTGCCTGCGAAGTCGCCATATGGAGCTCCTGTATTGTTTCAGAAAAAGGCCGATGGTTCTCTTAAAATGTAGCGTGACTATCGAGCCTTGAACAAGATTACTGTAAAGAATAGCTATCCTATCCCACTGGTTGCGGATTGCTTCGATCGACTGAGTCGGGCGAAGTATTACACAAAAATTGATCTTAGGTCCGGATACTGGCAAGTTCGGATCAAGGAGGGAGACGAAGCAAAGACTACGGTGGTAACTAGATATGGAGCCTTTGAATTTAAAGTGATGCCTTTTGGTTTGACAAATGCTCCCGCAACATTTTGTACTATGATGAATCAGGTACTTCACGGGTTCTTAGATGTTTTTGTCGTGGTGTACTTGGATGACAGAGTAATCTACAGTGAGACATTGGAGGAACATGTCCAGCATGTGAGGCAAGTTTTTAATCGGCTACGGGAGAATGAACTTTATGCTAAGTCGTCTAAATACTCATTTGCTCAGACATCTATCAGTTTCTTGGGTCACATCATTGAACAAGGTAAAATCCGCATGGATTCGAAGAAAGTTACAGCCATCAAAGATTAGCAACCACCAAAAATCGTACATGATGTACGTTCATTTCTTGAGTTATGCAATTACTATCGAAGATTTGTGAAAGGCTACTTAGAAATTGCACTGCCACTTACTGAATTGACAAAGAAGGATAAGGATTGGGATTGGTCATCCCAATGTCAAGCTGCTTTTGAAAGGTGGAATAAGTCCATGTGGACGAACCCGGTTTTAGCCTTACCGGATATGGCTAAACCATTTGAAGTTTATACAGATGCTTCAGATTTTGCACTTGGTGGAGTCCTCATGCAAGAAGGACATCCGGTAGCATATAAGAGTTGGAAGTTAAACCAGTACTCGGTATATGAAAAGGAATTGTTGGTAGTAGTCCATTGTCTCAGAGGATGGCGTCACTATCTGCTTGGGTCTCCATTTATTGTGAAGACAGATAACACTGCAGCTAGTCACTTCATATCCCAACCAAAACTATCGAGCAAACAGGCTCGTTGGCAGGAATTCCTTTCAGAGTTCAATTTTATGTTAGAGTATCGTCCCGGCTCTAGTAATCATGTTGCTGATGCTCTTAGTCGACGGGCCGATTTAGTCGCCATCTACTCCGTAGCTGCTCTTTCAGGGAGCACAATCTCCACAAATACTAGAGACCAAATTCGGGCACTTTTGGAGAAGGACCCGGCTACCCAATATTTGGTCGAACTCATCAAGCAGGGTAAAACTCGACAGTTCTGGCTCGATGGAGAACTAGTGAAGACAAAGGGAGACAGTCTATACGTTCCTAAGGGCGGAGATCTGAGAAAATCACTAATTACAGAATGCCATGACACAATTTGGATAGGGCACCCCGGAGATGAACGCACTTGTGCACTATTGCAACGTGCATACTACTGGCCTCAAATGCGGGACGACATTGCAACATATGTAAAAACCTGTCTTATTTGTCAGCAAGATAAGACAGATCATCAGAAAAAGGCGGGCTTACTGGAGCCCCTTTCCATCCCAACCCGGCCATTCGAAAGTGTATCGATGGACTACATTATTGGGTTGCCAAAAGTTGAGGATTTTGGCACTATCATTGTCGTGGTGGACAGTCTGTCAAAATATGCAACTTTCATTGCAGCGCCTAAGTATGTATCTGCGGAAGAGACAGCTCAACTCTTCTTTAAACATATTGTCAAATACTGGGGGCTGCCTAAGGACATCGTCAGTGATCGAGATCCTCGTTTCACTGGCATATTTTGGATTGAGTTGTTCAAACTTCTTGGTTCAACTTTGAGCATGAGTTCTAGTTTTCACCTACAATCTGGTACACAGACGGAGCGCTTCAATTCTATGCTAGAAGAATATCTTCGGCACTTTATCTCTACTTTGTAGAAAAACTGGGTAAAACTTTTGGATGCAGCCCAAATTTGCTTCAATGCCCAAAAAGCTTTTCTACCAATAAGAGTCCTTCTGAGATTGTTACTGGCCAGCAACCGCTACTCCGTCATACATTGGATATCGAACGAAGTACTAAGTTCCCTCAAGCAAAGAACTTTTCTCAAGAGTGGAAACGAAATATTGAAATTGCTCGGAGTTATCTTGAGAAAGCTAAAAAACGGTATAAAAAGTCTGCAGATCTAAAGCGCCGTTTCATTGAATTCAATGTTGGAGATCTGGTAATGGTTAAGCTTCCCGACAGAAATGTTTACAAACCAACAAATGGGAGGACTCAAGATTGTCGTCAAAATACATTGGACCATTACCTATCGTGAAGAGGATTGGAAGAGTTGCATACAGAGTTGAACTCCCTTCATGGTGTAAAATTCACAAGGTCCTTCATGTTAGTGTTTTGAAGCCATACTCTGCGGATAAGGAGGACGCATATAGAAATGAGCCAAAGCGACCTGTGTTTGAACTGAAGAAAGCTGGAAAGAAGGTTGCTGAAGCTATTCTTGACCATCGAATCACTCGAGCTTCTAGAAAAGATCATCAGGAGTACTTGGTCAAATGGATGGGATGCAGTAGCGAGGAGAATACTTGGGAAAGAGAAAAAGATCTCGGAGCCGTTAAACCATTAATTGAAGCATATCATGCATTGATGGCACCGAGGACGTCGCCAAAACAAATGGGGTAGAATGTCAAGGACTGCAGCTTTACTTAGCCCCTTGACACTATCGTAGCCGCAGTTTGTCCAATTTCGGCCGCACATTATAAATATTACTTCAAGTTCGAGTTGTAATTCTTTTTTTATTGTAATAGTTATTTCAGTTGTAAAATAGCTTTGATATTGGTAAACGTTTAATATGATTCCTCGTCTTTTAAACGTCTACTCCTGTCACTTAGGTTTTTGTTCAGAATTCTATTATAGGGAGTATTAGTCATTCAAAAATCTTTCAAGCTCACTGGTGTCCGCCCCCTGCACCAGCAATTGTAATTTTCTGCTTTCATCAATTGTAATGTTCAGTTTTCATCAATCAATGTTCAATTTACTTTCAATGTATTCAAATTCTTTATTGTAAGCTTTCTACAAAATTGTAATCAAATTTTCTTTCGTTCTGACGCGATCGAGAAAAGGCGGAAGGTAATCTAGCGGAGCAGACTACTGCCACACGGTGTCCCTTTCTGTGCCAAGAAAAAAGGCACCCTGTGAAACTTGAACATGTAACCAACATGCCAAGTTTCATGTACTATAGTTTTGTATTATTTTAATTTATGCTCGTGAGTTCAGCGTATAACTTTTTAAGAATTTCTTAATTATTAAAATATTTGTATAGAAAAGTTACTTTTCTTGAATTGGAACTACTTCTAAATGGTACGATCATTGTGTTAGTCAACAAAATAACCATTCTAATTCAAAAAAATTTAGTGAAGCAAAAAATAATATTGTTCTAATGAAAATAGCAAGTATAAAAATAAAGACACTATAAATTCATAATTTGAAAGAATTTTAATCTGTCTGTTACCTGCTCATTGTTCTGTGTCAGTGCTACATACGAATTATTAGGGAGGGGTGGGGCTGTTCGCTGTCTTGCTAAATTTGATATTTTGTGATTGAAATAGGTACACTTCTTGCATGAGTTTTGTACCTTAAGCAAGAGCTTGCAGATGGTTCAGCAGCTCCGACTATTTAGGTATGTTAAAAATCATAAATTCTGCTTCGCTCTCTTTCTGGTATAAAATATAATATCAATTACAGCAGTATTACATCTTTACCGAACTTAGAAATTGATTTTTAACTTGTTCTACAAGTTCAAAATTTTTTGCCTGAAATGTAAAAATAGTCTCGTATGCATGAATTAATGTTATTTATGTGCTTTACTTTATTACTAGAAGTATTTTAATGCTTGTAGGGATCTTGTCAGTGAAGGCATATTTGACATCATTGCTGACGTTTTGCAGAGTGATGACAAAAAGCTTGTGTTGACTGGGTAATAAAATAATTCCAAGTTTTTAGTATGAACATTCAAAATATTTTTTCTCTATTCTTAGTTTTCCCGAGTATCTGAAATATTCACAATAATTTCTTGTAATGGATACAGGACAGACATTCTCATTCTTTTTCTGAATCAGGATCCCAGTATCTTACGTTCTTATGTAACTAGGCAAGAAGGTGTTCTTTTTGGACTTTTGGTGAGCAATATTGGATTCTTTATTTCCTGGAGTTTACAACAGCTTTTTGTTGCATGTAATGGCTGTATAAATTTCCTTCTTAGTATTAGTGGAATTAGTTGTTATCTTGAGGCAGTCACAAGATATGTTAAGAAAACTCTCGAATTTTATGTTTTTGTGTAGATCTAAGTGTGGATACTACCACGATCATGGTTATGGCCATGAACATGACATGACATGACCTGAATATGGGATGACATCATTTTCCAAAATGTAGTTAGCTATTCCTTTTTCTTACCTAGTTATATATGTATCCAATTTTGGTGGTCATCTGAACTTTTGGTCATATTATAGTTAACCAATTTTTCTTTCAATTACATTTGGATCCCAAAAGTAATCCTTTTGTCTGTACTAGTGTGTACTTGAGAAAATTTGTTAGTGCACCCCTAAGTTTCCAGCATATCCAGGAGAAATTAGAAGATTGGCTGCAATATTTTCCTAGTGTCCCAATGTACCTGACATGTGGCCAGTGTAGGACATTTTGGCAGGGTGAAGTGCCTGGGTTTTCTATGTTCAGATCATATAGATGACATGTTAGGAAAAACCATGGCCATGGACATTAAGGGTGTGTTTGATTACATTTATTTTCCATGGAAAATATCAGTTTTCTACCTAAATTCCTACTTAGAGTGTTTGATTGCCATTTTTTCTATGAAAAATATTTTCCAACTTTTGAAAATATGCCTAATTTTCCTTGTTATTAAGGAAAACATTTTTTTGGGGTAGAGGTGGTTTTTATTTTCCACAAAAGATGTAAAATATTTTCTTTTCTAGGTGATATTTTCCATGCCAATCAAACACACTCTAAGTTCCAAGCTTTTCATGTTAATCTCTGCAGCCTTTCTACCTTTCATTTCGGGGCAGGAAGAATGGGGTGAAAGTGGTTATATTTGTGAGGGGAAATCACGATAGCACTAAGATGTTTTCATTACAGTATCTTTTGTGTAAATATATATCATCATTTAAAATCTCTGATATTCGGACTCTTTGAAATGGTTGGACTACCTGTATCGGATACTACACGACATGGGTATGAATATGGGATATGTGTAGGATCCTCCAAGTTTCAACCCGACACTTCGCTGTTTTTTGCTTCTTCTTTCTTTCTTTCTTTTCCTTTTCTTTCCGTTTCTACTCTCTATAATAAACCTATCGTCACCTCTGAGAGTGTAGAGAAAAGCTATGGCGCTAGATTTTCTCCTTTCTTTCCCTTTTCTTTTCTTCATTTTTTTTCCTTCTTTCCCTTTCCGTATCGATGGTTTAGGGTTTTGTTTGTATGAAAAGAAAATGGATTCCATATAATACTACTTAGTGCTCTACTAAATTCAAATTGCAATCAAGTCCCTCATTTTCTATTTTATATAACATTTAGTAATTAACTTTTCATAATTAAAAATTAAATCCAAAAATTATATTTTATTAGTCTTAACTCCTTATTCAATACTATTTCATTCTTTGTGAACGATTGATTTTGGTCTATTCAAAATAATATCTTGAGTTAGTAAAAAAATTGAAGTTTGAAAGACATAGCCACGTATCCGTGTCCAAAATTTAGACTCTTTTTAGTCATGTTCCCGTATCCTACATTTTAAAAAATAAAATATTCGGTACTTAGATATGTACCCATATCCGATAGCCATGCCTGGGTCCGAGCATCATAGAGTAAAATAGCAGCCTGCTTCAAATTTTGGGGTTCTGTGTGTGTGCACGCGTGTGAAACATGGTCTTGGGTGGAATACTGTGTGTACTGATATTAATTCATATCTCTATGCTGAAAATAGTAGTTAGAGTGAATCTTTTATTTGCAGGTGAAAAATATGCTAACAGATTTTGGAGATGATATGCACTGCCAATTTCTTGAAATTCTTCGCAGTCTTTTGGATTCATATACATCAGCGTCACAGGTGCTTTACTTGTACTTTGTTGTTCAATTTATAATCTTTCTCTCAGCCATCGCCTTCTGTTATTATTCTCACGATGAGAGTCGTGTTTTTTGGTCACGACTCAAATTAAACTATAATTAAGACCAAAAGGCTATTAAGCATTATGGTGCATCCTTGCCTCTGTGTGTGTGTGTGTATTTATTTATTTGCACGTGAGGACGTTATCGGCATTATTTTTGTTATCATAGTTTATGCTGTCCTTGTGATTTATGTAATAATTTTACTTTTGTTACAGAGAGAGAGTATTGTTGAAATTTTCTACGAGAAGCACTTGGGTCAGTTAATAGATGCTATAACATCATCATGCCAACCAAATGATGCTGCTCAAACAAGCAGTAAGTTTGTGAGCTCAGGAGGAGGAAATGGGAACCAAAGGGGAGTGAGGCCTGAAATACTATTGAGCATTTGTGATCTTCTATGCTTCTGTGTTTTGCACCATCCTTACAGAATAAAGTAATTTTCATAGCACCCTTCGTTCAACTTTGTTAGCTGTGATATGCTGCATCAGAGTTCATTTTGAATTTAAGCTTCATGTTGTTCTGCAGATGTGATTTTTTACTTAATAACGTGATCGATAAGGTTTTATATCTGACAAGAAGGCGGGAAAAGTATCTTGTAGTTGCTGCTGTTAGATTCGTGAGGACTCTTATTTCTCGCAGTGTAAGTTGATTGTTTTATCTTTTGAAAAACTCGAGAGATTAATATCGTCGAGGTAAACTGAAGTTTACATTTGAACTGTTCTCCTCTGGGTGAATTAAAATGAAACATTATTTTCTTTCCATTTTTCTTTGAAACCATTTGAAGAAGTTCGCACTCCTTTATTTGCTGCATTTGAGATTCTAATTTATGGTTCTCAAGGATAATGTTTTCCCAAATCGATTAAGTATCTCATGTTTGCATTATCTTATTTTTCTGTGTATTTGATACCTGAAGGAAGAATAATGTGCATTGGTCATGTGAAGTAATTTGACCTGCTATTTTATGTGGATAGATTTTGGTATTCACGTGGTCGTGCTCTTTGGCTCCTTTCTCCTTGAGATTGTGTGCTTTCATGAATCTCTCTTGTGAGACCTTTTGTTTTCAATCTAGCCGGCCTATGTCAGGCATTAGCTTGGTTCTCAATTTCTTTGTTGTTTGTTTGGTGATGCATTGCAGGATGAGCATCTTATGGATCACATTGTGAAGAACAACCTTTTCAAACCCATTGTAGATGCATTTGTTGCTAATGGTGATAGATACAATCTTTTGAACTCTGCCGTACTTGAACTATTTGAATTTATCCGAAAGGTGGTTATCCCCTTCCGATGTCCCTTATATTGCATAACAGATGCATCTAGCTATATTTCACCATTTTGTTTCTTGAAACACGTGTTTTGCAGGAGAACTTGAAGATATTACTTAGATATATTGTTGATTCATTCTGGGATCAGTTGGTCAAACTTGAGAACTTGTCTTCCATTCAAGCTCTAAAAGTTAAATACGAGCAGGTATTTATCTTTTATTTTATGGGTTTTTATTTCATTTGGACTTCTCTGTGTTTAGATCATGATGAACGAATTTGCAGTCCCTAGAGAGTACTGGAATGAGAAGCACTGCTAGTTTGTTAGACCAGAGGAAACGGATAGATGAGCGTGCTTTGGAGAGAGAGGAAGAAGACTATTTTAATGAGGACAGGTTTGTTGTCATTGTGGAATGTATAATGGTGGATCTCAAATTATAGACACCACGTAATGACCAATTCTGCATGTTAATTAGTGATGAAGAAAATTCTGCATCAGCTGCCAGCACTAACAGAGTGCAATCTCAGCCTGTCTTGGCTAATGGGTCTGCTCTAAACTACCCTTCGTTAAGGTATTAATTTCCTCAATTGTAATTTTATTTTTCGCCTTAGGTGCTTATAAATCAAATTTACATCTATGTATGAAGGGCTAGTGGACTTGTTGACTATGAAGATGATGAGGATGATGAAGATTACAGGCCTCCACCTAAAAAACTGTCTGATATATCTGATGAAGACGAGGGGCTGGCAGAGTTCCGGTTAAAACGCAAATCAGTTTCAAAGGAGGAGCCTGAGCCAAAAAGGTTGCTGCAGTCACCAAAGGGCCCAAAACCAAGAGAAGGTGTATTTGCTGCCTTATGCTCTACCTTAAGCCAGGCAGTACTACCAAGTAAGAAAACAACTGGTGCTGGAACTGACAGTCCTCAGTTGGATGCAAGGAAGACCACCATCGAACCAGCTTACAATGTGAAGGGTTCTATGAGGTCATCTGATGATAATGGAAATGCAGATATGGAATCCCATTCCAAAGATGAAGAAGCTTCTCCTAGAAGCTTTTCTGATAGCTTGCATGATTACCCGGAGAATGGGCAGCGAGGTGATGACTGTTCATTGCTACCACCCAAGTCCTCACCGGAAATGGCTGTGAATGGATCCTGAGAGTTATTTCTGGAAAGCTATCCGTGTAATTCACTAGCTGGCACTTGTGCTGCAGAAGAATTGGCCATGACTATCTCAACTTTCAATAGAGGGCTTGATGAAAAAGAGCGAGCAAGGATGCAGAGGGGAATTTCAAATGAATATCCCTTGACACTGGGAGGATACTGTTCAGTTCCTGCCATTTTAGGTGGAGTAATTGTCGATTGTAAAACATTCATCAACTATAGCTTTTGCTTCTCCTATTCTTCTCCCTTGCTCAATCTCTTGTTCTGATTTTAACGCGAACTCTACGATACTCTGATAGGGTTACATTGTGTTCTGTATAGATATTGTTTGTTTATTAGACAAGTTTGTGGGACAGAGGCGCTGAGTAACGTGTAGGCCAAATTTTGTGTTCAAATGTTTTTCCATTCGAGGTCTGAGGAATTGTATAATATAGCGTTTGAAGGGAATGATTGTCCTGGCGTCAATCATCAGATGCATTTCCCGTTAATTTTGGTCTTGTTATTCACGTTAATGAAGTGTAAAATCGTATAACGCTGGCTGACTGGTATATACCTATTTGGTTAAAGCTGACTCGGCGATCAATGGAAAATATTTTCATTCTTACTGTAGCTATAAGAAAGTTCTTTTTGTAAGGATCTTTCTTGAGTTATTGAATGGGATGTTTAAAAATGATGAATACTCTGTTGGTTAGGTGCTTCAGCGACATCTATTTTGTTCCTTCTCTTGGTGGGCATTGGAAGACGATTTATTTTATTTTTATTTTTATTAAATTGGATTAAGGTTTAAACCTTTTTTAATGCAATTTTTTGTTAATAAAAGCAGAATATTCCATTGGAAGAAGAAAAATGCTACTCAAACACGGGGAAAAAAAAGGCTGTTTCCGAGGATCATAAACGGAGACCGATGGGTCGAGCTCACCTAATGGAATCTCAACTACCGTTCTTTAAACTCCTTTTCCTCACTTTCCTCTTCCACTTCCTCTCCTCCATACCTACACCGGCCGCCGCTGCCGTCTCCGCTTCCTACCCGAAAGACGCCCTTCCCACAAGATCAGGCTATCTCACAGTGAACTCCACCTCTGGTTCTGCCATTTTCTACGCATTCTATGAAGCCCAAAATTCGAACGACAAGACGCCACTCTCCCAATTGCCCATCGTCATTTGGCTCCAAGGTGGCCCTGGCTGCTCCTCGATGCTAGCCAACTTATACGAGCTCGGTCCGTGGCGCGTGTCTCCACAGCTCTCACTTGAAGCCAATCCAGGTTCTTGGAATCGAATCTTTGGCTTGCTTTTTCTTGATAGTCCTATTGGAACTGGATTTAGCACAGCTGCTTCACCTCAAGAAATTCCAAGAAACCAACACGATGTTGCTAAGCACCTTATTATTGCAATTAAGAAATTTATTGCCTTGGACGAACTGTTCAAAACTAGGCCGATTTTCATTACTGGTGAGAGTTATGCTGGAAAATATCTTCCCGCACTTGGATATTATATACTAAAGAAGAATGCCCAGTTGCCTAAAGAAAAAAAGGTGAATCTGGGTGGTGTTGCTATAGGAAATGGATTGACGGATCCAGAGATTCAAGTGGCTACTCATGCTACAAATGCTTACAATTTAGGTCTGATCAATGAAAAGCAAAAGAATCTTTTGGAGAAACTCCAATCTGATGCTGTTGGATTAACTAGAAATGGTAATTGGAGTGAGGCAACAAGTGCAAGAACTAGAATCTTGAACACATTGACAAATATGACTGGTTTAGCCACTTTATATGACTTCAGAAGGTTAATTCCTTATCAAGATGATTTAGTGGGAATCTTTCTGAATAATGCGGAAGTGAAAAAGGCACTTGGAGTCGATGAAAACATGGTTTACGAGGTGTGCAGTGACGTGGTGTACGCAGCATTGCACGATGATGTGATGAAGAGTGTGAGGTACATGGTAGAGTTGTTGGTTAAGAATAAAAAAGTTTTGCTGTATCAGGGACAATGTGATTTGAGAGATGGCGTGGTGTCGACCGAGGCTTGGATGAAGAAGATGAAGTGGGAAGGTATCACGAAGTTTTTGGAGGCCAATAGGAAAGTTTGGAGGGTTGATGGGAAGCTAGCTGGGTATGTGCAGAAATGGGCAAATTTGAGCCATGTCGTGGTTATGGATGCCGGGCATCTTGTGCCTACAGATCAAGCTGTGAATTCTCAAGTAATGATTGAAGATTGGATTTTGGAGAGAGGAATTTTTGGCAGTGAAAAGATTGAAGAATTACTTCTCAATTTTAGGGGAACCATTTGAGTTGTGTTCGTATTTGCTGTGTTTGTTGTTGTAATTTGATATTATGAATGCTTTAAGCTTGAAATAAAAGACTGCGCTTTAGTATAAATAGTCTGTTGGGTCGACAATCAAGTGTCATTTCCCCAGTGGTTAGGTATTACAAGAAAATTCCTTTTAGTTTCTTGTACCTGACCTCTGGATAAATAAATCAGCTTGAATCCTGTTCTGTTCATCCAAGATCGAAGCAACTCCAATAGCTTTTCAGTATATTGTCTGCTTGTTGTTTCTTGCCAGCAATCAGTTATTTTTGAGCTGATCAATTTGAGTTTCCTCTCTAAGCAACACTCTCACGAGTCACAACTAAAAAAGTTCTTAGTAAACTTATCGCCAACTAATCAACCAACACCCATTTATTTTTATTTTACGTAAAACTCGTTCTACAATTTCGAACACAGCAAACTTCTGTTTGTGTCAACATATATTTATTTTGATAATGGAAAAGCACTAGCTGCAGAATTCATCTTTAATCTACAGATTAAATTACTATAGCAGCCAACTAAACATATTAATAATCTTCCTATTTTTTCATTATTGATAACTTGAGATAAGATTTACGGTTTGATGGATTGGATTCTAAGAATTGACTTGTAAATGCGGCCACCCAATAATAGTTAATCCAACGGATTATTTTTTATTTTTCCAGATCAGGTTCTATCTTAATGAGTTTAATTAGGTCAAGAAATGTCCATCAAAAACTTGTTCAACACTTAGTTTGATTCTATTGATTAGAGCTAAATAATAAGATTATCGATAATTATCATAGTGCTCTGTGTTCTTTCAAAGAAGAACACTAATATCTTCAGTAGATAAAAGAATTTGATGGTTTGATAAATTTACATATAGAAAATTCTCTGACATTCAACTTACTTTGAAAATTTACTCGACGGTTGAATATATGAAATTTTTACTCTTTTCGGATATGGC